TCCAACAAATATCCTCAAAGAAATCACATTTAACAATCTGCTGCTCCACCAAGAATAGGTCTGAATAACCTGACTTTACAAAATTCCTCATATCATCACCCCATCTCATGAATTGACTGAATTTAGCTTAATTTACTTGAAATAATTTAGTCAAACACTGAAGGAAAAATAAGAAGGTAGGTAAAGAGTTGTTTTGCCAACTATTCACCCAGTTGATGGGGAAGAGATTTGCAAACTAGGGTTATGGGGATGGAGAACACACAACCTCTGACAGTAGACAGAGATGAAATCAACAATTTATTAGTCACATATTCTCACAGCCTGGGGAAAAAGGACATCACACAACACACAGGGCCACACTGGGGTTACACTCAGGGCCAGAGAGCAAACCAGGGTCAGGTTCTTCCTGGTTCCCACTGCAAGAGGACAAGAGGAGATTGGCTTGTTTGAATTCAGTGCGGCTAGCAGGGAAATGAAACCTCACTACCTAAGAAGGAATTATGCCTGGTCCCCCCTGATAAGGAGAGCGGTTTGGCTAGGGGATCTTATGGTGGGGAGAATGAGGAAGGGTGAGGGTATGCCATTGGAGGCCTTCTGGGTTATATCAAAGGCAGCACATACTATTAGCCCGTAGTTGTAGTTCTTATATCATAATGGACTCCTTGATGTCTTGACATCAATTTATACCTTGGGGATGACCTGACCTTTCCAGGGAGTAGAAGTACCTCTCTAGGAGATGAAGTAGGCACTTATCCAGGAGGAAAAGAGTCACATAGTGAGATGGTTTTCAGAAACATGAAGTTTAGAGGTGTTCCCTACATGGCCAATAAAGAAAATTGAGGAACCTGTGTAGCATTCATATAGGGACTGCATGATCCCAGGGGATGTGGATATTGACTGATTCATTCTTGTGGGTCCATTTGCTACTTTTTAATTTAAATAGGAGTTTTTGAGGGGGCCATTATGTCTTTCAGTTAAACTGGTTGCGTAGGGTCTAAACGGGACAAGGAAGTTGCATGGAATGCCTTCTTCAGTAGCCCACGTTGTTTATTTTGAGAAGTGAAAGGAATGCCTTGGTCTCTGTAAGTAATCTCTGGAGCCTCCAAGGGATACCGAGTGTTCTGATGAGGGCTTGAATTATGATCCTAGTACACATAGTGACATCTGTTATCTTGATTTATATTTTAGGGCTGTGTGAGACATGAGCTTCCTAGAGTCCATTATCTCAAAGGGGTCAAGTCAAACAACACACCAAGGTTTTATAAAAATGTATAAATGGGGCCATTTCCTGGCCAGGGTATCTGGTGATAAGATGACTGTCACTTGCCAACTGTGCTGATCCTTAAGTTCTGTCATTTATCAGGGACATCCTGGATAAGGAATGAAAAGCAGCATCCTTCCACGTGTGCTCCATCATATTTAATGGTGGTGATAGGGTCCAACCAGGGTATAAACTCACATCAATGCTCAAAGCTCAGTTGCTTCCAAGGGTCTCTTTAGGTAGCCAAGGGGTCTGTGAGAGAGTTGACCTTTAGCACCATGGCACCTGCCACGGGACTAAGGAGAGGGGACACCATACCCTTATGCAGGTGGAATATATCAGAGGGTTCAGGTTTGGCTCCAGCCTATAAAAAGGAGGCCTTGGCCACTGAGCTTGTACAGTGCTGGTTCCATGATCCAAGGCATGGTGGCCATGTTGGTATGGAGGACTAGGTGCTCAGCTCTGTGAGAAAGTATTTTCAGAAGAGCTTTGTGTGGCCAACAATTACTACTCTGATGTGTGGTGTAGGGCCAAGGAGGGCAGTTTCCTGCATCAGAAGTCCACAAGAGTCTTATGGCCATCAAACATGGGCCAGCCCTCCAGAAGCCATGAGAAGAAGTTACTGAAGTTTTATAGTGAAGGAAACTCTGAGAACACTAAAGACAATGGTTGCTGATTTCAATTTGAACAGATTCTAGAGGCTTTTATTTGAGGGGGTCCCAAAATGTAAAAGATGTCAGATGGTATAAACGTTTTGGGTACTGAGAAGTATCACTTGCTATTTGTTGACAGTATCAGGGGTGGAGTAGCCTTCAGATTGCCAAAAAATTTTCAAGAATTTAACAGAGGTGGTTATGTCTTGTATTATATGTGGGACAATGGCCAATCCCTGTTTTTTGTTTGTTTGTTTTTTTGAGAATTCGTATGTCCTTAAATTGTGTGTCTAACAAATCTCCTAAAAAGAGGATGCCATCAGTGTAATGTCGTACCTGTGCTCCTGGAGAAAGGTGAATACCATTAGGATCTTAGCAGCAAAGACGGTGTATGATAGCAAGGCTAATGACATGCAACATGGGTGGCCTGACAAAGGTGTGTTGTGTCAAGTTGGAGGTGAAGGCTAACTGTGGCTGAGAGGCTGTTGGAATAGGCATTGAACAAAATGTATTAGCCAAATCTATAATAGCAAAATATGTGCCAGTTGCTGATTCCATTAAATCTGTAATTTCAAAAATATTGGGCATTGGGTATGGGGGTCACAGTGCATTGGACCACAGCATTAAGGTTGTGGTAATCCACCCTGAGATGCCATTCATACTTGCTAGGTTTACGGACAGGCCAAATCGTGATGTTGAATGGAGAAGCAGAGGAGATCAGAGCCCTTTCACTCATTAGGTCTTATACAATACGTTTCAATACTTGAAGGCCCTGTTTTAATTTACATTGGTCTATATTAAGTACTTTAACATGGGGTGGAGTCTTATTAGGCTACTTAGGTTTAATTCTCCCTTGGGTGGTGATCTCCTTTTTATCCACAGCCTCACAGTGAGATCCTGGTCTCCCCATGAAGGTATATAATACAATTACAAATAATGTCCATACGGCTGCCCCAAGCAGCTAGTGATGGCTGTCAGCTCATAATTAAAAACAGTACTCTCAAATACTGAAGGTAAGCTCTGTGCTTGTGTAAAGGGCTTCTTGAGTGTTTGGTTCTATAGTGATTGGGCCAGGCCACTTAATCAAGGAATACCCAATGTCAATATGTTAGGTATATTTTTCTTCTTGGGCTAGTTCGATACCAAGAGAAATCTAAGCTTGGGCACTTGAATTTTCTAAGTTTACTGGGGAATAATCACTGAGAAACTCAAGATCCAAAGCTTTCTGGATATGATGATCTCACATCAAAGAGTGTTTGCTGTCTTCCAATCTAGACATCTCTGTTTTACCCTCCTTGAGAATAAACCTCCTGTCTTCTAACCAGGAAAACAGCACCTACATGTGCGCCGCCAATGAGGGCAATTTGGAATTCTAATTGTTTCTTAATGACATCATTGATCCTTCTTTTTACTTTTATATTCACTCTCACTTTGAAACTAATTTGTCTTATCAGTTCTTGAGCCTTTGGAATTTTCTGAGGGACAAATCAGGTTTCTTCTTCATATGCTTCACTTCTAATTAAGCACTAAACATTTTTAAAACTACTAACTCAATTACAAATTATTGATCTACTTCCAAACTTCTAAAATGTTGTCACAGTTGTTACCTTCCTTGTTTGTCTTCCAAAATATTTTTTTCCTTCAAATTTTCTTTTCATTTTAGCGAAGTTTTAGGAAAAGTGAAAGTTAGTGTATGAATTCATTCACCATCTCTCCCTTTTTAACTGGAAGCTTGAAAATGAGCTTTGCACATAATAAGCAAAGTCGCATAACAGAAATTGTCATGAAGAAATCTACTCTTAGATTTATGAGAGTTTGTGGAATTCTTGCTAGCAAATTTATTATTATTATTATTATTATTATTATTATTATTATTAGAGCTACATAGGAAGCTCTGATATGTTTGATATTGGGTCACTTTTGGGAATTAATAATTTAAATGTAAATAATTAATTTCTCTCATTACATATCAATACATAAAATCACAAAATATATGTAGTTTCAAACTCCTCAAGTGCAACTATTAAAGTACTTTATTTTTCACTTTTGGTTGGTAACAACTTTATCCTTCTATTGAGACTAATGACATTTTAGATCAATAATGGTAACATCAAATATGTGACATGCACTGTTGTATTTGATATAGATTAGAATGGTAATTACTTATTCAATTATCTTTACGGTTATAATTATAGTGAAAATACAATTTAAAGCCTGATAGATCTTTTCTCTCATTGCATTGGTGTATTCATCATATTATTCTACTTTGAATGGTGCCTGAATTTAGTGTCCAAGCCATCTCAGGCAACTTGCAAGCTTTAGTACTTGAGGTCAATTTAATTACAGTGTGCATGACAGAATCCAGGCCATTTGGGTATTGCCTTTGCCACCAGCAATTGACACCTGAGTGTTAATGAGCTGGTAATTAAGAGCTGGCACATACAGACACATTTTTCAGTTTGGGAAGAAGACAACCATATGCTACATAACTTCAGTGCTAAGTATTTTGTTAGCTCCAGAATTTGCACAATTATGTTTTTGAGGTTTGTTTTTTTCTCTTTTTTTCTTAACCTCAATTTTTCCAGAATACAAAAAAAAAGAAAGAAAAAAATAGATTAAAAACAGTTAGTGTTAAGTGACTATACTCATCATTTTCAAGTTATGAAACTTTCTAAAACTAGTAAGAGTGTATATTTGGAGAACAAACATTTGGAAAAACTTAAATTGCAGAATTTGTGTGGTAATATATTACTTTCAGTTTAAAACCACATTTGCAGGACTTCTATTATGAAAGTCTTCTGTAATATAAAAAAAAAAAAAAGTGCCAAAAGCAACTTAACACGAATGCATAGATGTGGGGTAGAAAGCCTGTGGGATGGCCCATAATGATTTTCCACCTCCTGGTATTCACACCATGGAGTAATCCACTTTTCTGGAAGGTAAGTGGGATATAGTAACCCACCTCTAAGAAAAGAATGTGGTAGGAAGAGGGGATGTCATTCCTGAATTAGGCTAGAAAAAGGCTACTGTTTCCATCTTGGGAACGTTCTTGTACACTCTCTCATTCTCTTTTGGATTGCTTGCAGAGGTGCTGTGGAGGCAACTCCATGGTGAGATGCAGGTGGCGAGAGAGCAAGACCCATCAACAACAAAGAGAGTGAACTTGTAAGCAGAATCCTGCCCACAGGTGCACCTTTAAAAGTGACCAGATCTGCGAACTAACAGCTTGATGGGAACTTCAAGATTTTAGCCAGACGCACCCAGTTAGGCTGCACTAAGAGTTTTGCACCACACAAATTATGAGATAATAAATGTTTGTAATTTTAAGTGGTAATGTTTGGGGGTTTGTTGTCATGCCCAATAGATAATGAATAACTAGACGTGAGAACACTATTGTCTTTTATAGCAGTATGAATTATTGATTTTTCTGATGTGATATTGGCCATTTTCACAGATGATACATGTAACGTGCTTTGCTTTCTAATCTTTAGTTCTCCTTTTTCTACTTCTCCATACCTCATGAAAAAGTTCCCACCATTATCTAGGTTCATCTCCTGTTGGCTTAAAAAAATAAATATGTTGTAACCAGGCGAAAAAAAATGTATTAAATTTGGTGAATTTTAGTTGTGGGAATTACTTCCAATTTTTCTTCTCTGAAAGAATTTGCTTTCCCATGAACCCTCTGTAGGACATATAGCCTTTTATATGCAGATTGGTATAATTACACTTTGAAATAGCTTTGAATTCCCTGTAGCTTAAACTGAGACATGAAAGGCCAAATGTTATATCTAACCAAAGGATATAAAAGTGCATCTACATCAATCTGAAATGAGACATAGAAATGAACAGCTCTTTATACCGTGATGTCAGTGTTTGACAGATTATTGAAAAGGATCTGTACAACTGCTGAGGCTGCTTTGGGTAGCATGGAAACTCTGCCTGGGGGACAGCCTCATCAGTTTGTATATTTTATTCTTTCCATACCCAAAGGTGAGTAGATGTTTCGTGAAACAAGAGAAATGTGCTCTGAAGACAGCTTTAACTCTCTTCCCCAAAGATGACACCTGGCCCCACATGGTACCACACAGTGTGATCCAATGATGAAATCATCCACCCAATCTGTCAGGCTAGAGAAGGCAGCCTAGATGAGGAGGATACATTTTAGGAAGCAGACAGAAAACCCACATGACAACCTTCACCTCCAGAGATGCCAGTGACAGACAAGGGCCTTTTCTGCACAGAAGGGGAGTTTATTGTGCCAGTGACAGACTCATGAGGAGGGTTTAAAGTGCCACATTCTTTCTTATCACCAGCAGGAAGAAAAAAGGAGCACAGTGGATTTTGGCACATTCAAAACCTTGAAATCAGCACTATATTTATTTTAAAATAGATTCTGAAAAAAACCTAACTTTATGTTGAAGGAGGAAGTACTGTTAATGTGTAATATCCCAACTGCTTTGAGTTAAGTAAAATTATATCTTAGAATTGTTTTGTTTCAGCCATGAATACAGAATGATTTTCTACTTAAAGGGCATATCCTTTCCTGATATTATAACACACACAAAAGAATGAAGTTTGGGTTTGGTCATCTGGGTTTGGTAAATAAAGAGAAATATGTCTTCACATTGAAAACAAAAATGTCTTCAATTCTAGTGGTTCTACAATGTGCAGATATTAAGTAAGTAGAATTGAAATCAGTACAAGAGAGGGGTAGAACTTTCTGAACAAAATATACACTTTGAAACTAACACTGATTCAAGCAGAATTGAATAAATGATGCATACAATACTTAGGTATTTGATCTAGGCTAGGAAATTTTACCATGTTGGCACTTTGCAAAGCTTACCACTTATTAAGCTGCAGAGCGTATATGAAAGGAAATGATGATAACTCAAGCAGCAGTTGAGAAAAATATAACTTCTAATTAAATCTGACATCGTAATTTATATATATATATATATACATACATATATACATATATATATGTGTGTGTATATATATATATATATATATACTCATTTTCTGCCTCTTTTCTGAAATAATTTTCATGGATTTGAAAAAATTCAGAAGCTTTAAACATATAAGTCAATGTATATATTAGGTTAGCAGTCTCTATTCATGTTGATACTATAGGATATATATAGACAATGTGTAATAGGCAGCATGATAACTCTGAAATTATTCTAAATCCAATTCTCTTTAATCACTACTACTTCAATCGTGTGATCTTGGTAAACTTTAGCCGTTCATTTGGAGACTAAAATCAGTTCTCGTATCTAATTTACTTTCATGAATCAAATTTAGTTGGGAATGGTGTTGGACAAAGCAATCTCTATTTCATAGGGAGAATCTTCTGTGGTCTGGGGTGGGGGCATACTCACACCATACATTCACCCGAAAGCCCCTGCTCATTGAAAGTTCTGGGTAGAAATAAAAAACCAAACCCCCCAACACCTTACTAAAACACATATTAGTGATGAAGAATAGTAGTTCTACGTTATATTGGCGGGTGTTACCAGTAATCTTTTCTTCATAAAGATGATAATAGACTGTATCTATCATGAATTGTTTTACAACTCCAAACTGTGGCATAAACCAACATAAGAATAAGGACTCACCTTAAAATCAAAACTAAGGTATTCTAAAGTTACAGTGAAAGCTAGTATTTATTGAGCATTTCATTTGTGACAAATACTATGCTAGACATCAAGACACTTATATAAAAGGATAATATTTCAAACCCATTTAAAGATGATGAACTATGAAAACTGTGTACTCTTAATTATTTGGTAATTATGAAGCCAGTGAGTTTTGGAGTTAGGGGGTAACTTCTGACTGGTGGAATCCTGATTTTAGTTGACTTAAAAAGTATGTGAAAAAGATAAAATAAAATGAAACAATTAAGCAAATGATGGTTCACTAGAAATGTCCAAATATATATTATACACTGAATCTTAAAGAGAAACTATTTTTAGTTATATAAATTTCTCTAGCATTTAAATCACTTTGCTGTGCCGGCCGAGTAGCTCAGTTGATTAAGAGCTCGCTCAAGAGTGTGAGCTCTGAGCAACAGGGTCACCGGTTCGATTCCCGGCCAGAGCTGAGCTACCACTGAGTTGCCAACAGGTGGCAGGATGGCTCAGCTAAAAAAATAAAATAAAAATAAAATAAAAACTAAAAAATAAATCACATAGCCATATGGTTTGAACACAGCCTATAGTGTAAGTTTTGGAAATGATAAAAAAGACTTTCAAATTTAAATTATATGTTGTATGCTTTTCTGCACATCTTCAAACTACAATAGTATATATCTCAAACTATAGTGAGTATGTGTGTGTTCACGTCTATGTGTAGTGTGTGCAAAATGAGGTAGGGACTTGATGGCTACAATATTGGAAATTTATAAACTAGTACAGAATAGAGTATGTAGAGTACATTGAATACAATGAGATTTAGAGATCTCCTTGTCTAAACTTTCAAAAGTATGTTCCATGAACTCTTGTTTTTCTAGAATGAAGGTTGGGGAGAGTATAGAAATTTTCATTTTCAAATGAACATTTAAAATAGTATTTCTAACAATTGACCATAGAAATCTTCCTTCTTCAAAATTAACATTTTAAAATAAGAGTTTCAAGGCACATATTTTGGAACATGTGAGTTTATCATTTCGTGTATTTTTACAGAAAAGGAAAGTTAGGCTTAGAGGAGTGGCAAACCAGTAGTGTAATTGGAACTGAACTATTCAAAGGCAAAACATTTTATATACATGTCAAACTCAGGTTACGGAATTACATGGCCTGGGGTAAAAATCTATATTCTCATATTTAAAATCTGTGTGACTTGTGAAAAATCAACTAAACTGTGCTTCAGTTTTCTTCTTTGTAATTTGTGATAATCTCCCATTGGATTGTTGGCACATCCTATGCTTTAATTCATATACAATTTATATTATTAACATGATATACTAAGTGTAAGATATAATGTTTATTATTTTCGACTGAAGTATGTTATATGTGTTTAGATGGATTATAGAAGAAGCAAGAAGAATCACCACAGGACATTTTGTCCTCTAGATTCTATATACTTTTTCTCCTGAAGTTTGCAAACAGAGCTCTCAGATCTTGTTTGTATACTGCTAGGAAATAAGAGACAATCCTGTTGAGACTTCACCTAAAAAGCAAACCTTTGGGCACTATAATAAAAGAATGCATGTCTGACACATTAGAAGTAATTAAAATGGTAACATGGGTTTTGAATCCATATATGGGGCTCTAATGCTGGCTGAATCACTCACTAACTAGGTCATTTGTGATGGTTCAATCACTGACTGTTAGAGAATTAAAGTCCCTCTGTAAATTGTACTTTTAATAATGTGCTAAAAACATATTTCTTGGCTCTCATCATCATACTCAGAGCAATGATTATCTTTTACAAGTCAAAATTAATCAGACCATTTATCACGGTTTCAAGGATGTCAGTGATTTCTGCATTTTCTATTGAAACATTTTCTTGGAGAAGAATATTGAAGAGGAGATGACTGTTAAATCTGTATGAAGATAATACAACTGGCTTATCAGTTTAAAAATATTTAAAGTAGAGGAGAATCCAAAATGATTATAATTATGAGAATGTTAAAGCCCCTTAAAAAACAGTGTTTACATAGATGCTTTATTTTCTTATGAAAATATTGCTTATCTTCAGCTGCACACTCCTCACATCTGATGAAAGCCAGTATACATTTGATATTAATTATGTAAGCTATACTATAAATAAATTTCAAATGAATTTGAAATTTATCCAACTATGTATTAAATGCCTATATTGGGGAACTTTAGATGAATGCTTTATTTGTAACAATATAGGTTTTTTTGTCAATTTATTTTCTATTACCAACATATACAATTTCAACCACTTGTAGAATAAATGGTTTTATGTGTAGCCAGGAAACCTGGGAATGCATTCATAACATTATGTCTGTAAAAAAATTTAAATGCCATAATGTAATGTTCTAAAGATTTATCTTATAAATCAACCTTAGGCAAAATAATAATAATAATAATAATAATAATAATAATAATAATAATAATAATTGCAAGTTGAGGACTGTCAAACAATAATGTTCTTCAACCATACCTTTTGACTCACATCAATTAAAATAAAATTAAATGTGGAGTTCTGATCAAGATGGCAAAATAGGTAAACATTGTGCTTACCTTCTCTCATGACCACATCAAAATTACAACTAAACTACAAAACAATCATTGAGAGTTGCCTGAAATTTTGCTGAACTGCCTTACAACTGTGGGCATACAGAAGAAGCCACCTTGAGATGGGTAGGAGGGGAAGAGATGTGGAATGAGTTGGTCCCACACCTGTCTGTGACCATTAAAAACCGGGAAAGATATCTCGGCTGCAGAGGTCCCCCTTGGAGGAGCATGGGGTCCCAGCCCCACACCAGGATGCCCAACCCAGGTTTCCAGTGGCAGGGAGAGAAGTCCCCATAACTTCTGGCTGTGAAAACCAGCTGAGATTGTGGTTGAGTGAGACAGAGGGTGGTTGCAGCCCCAGGCTGCCCTCTTAAAAGGTATGCACACAGATGTACTCAGGGAAGGACTCACTCACTCTGAGCTCTGGTCCTGGGGCAGCAAGTCAAAAGGCCCCAGGGACAGACGGGGAGGAACTGAGTTGTCTGGATTCAAAACAATGACTGGAGAGGCAGCTTTCTCCCGGGATGGAGGAGCTGGTGGAAGCCATTGTTTCTTTTTTGAGCCCCATCCTCCCTGTGTGCAGATGCAGGCAAACACCATATCTGAGTCTCCATTAAACTGGCCATCACCTTTTGTCCACCCTGCCCTCATGCTTCCCTGAGACCACGCCCCACCTAAGT